AATATACTTTGTTATGTATGTGTGTGTGTGGGCAAGCACATGTGTGTGTGTGTGCGTGTGTGTGTGTGCGTATACATAAATATATGTGTGTATAGGTGTGTTCAGGCATATGCAAGTGCTGAATAACACAGCATCCACATTAACACGCACACTCCTCCATGCATACCAACTGACAAGTGTCGGTGACTGGGAGTTTTGTTCGACTTTCGTATACGACTTGGCGTGCTAGGCTATTACATACACAAACGAAGGCTCGTGTTTAGTAGTGATGCGTGGAGTATACACACATCGACACAAATCACACGAACACTCACGCTACATTTTCTTCTCGTCCCTTTCATAAACGCCTCAGGTGAACATCAACCTCTCCAGCGGTCTGCATCTGGACAGTCAAGTAAGCCCCACAGGCAACCCCAATTACAACGACTTTGGCTCCTCGCACTCCCCAACATCCACCCACACACCACCACACCCCTTCCATACCACCCACACCAACCACACCCACGACCCCTCTACCGTAAACCGGAGCCTGGCCCAGAGCAAGAAGTGGCAGAGCAAGTCGTCGGTGGACATACGGCGACCAGCCACAGACACGGAGACGTCGGCGGCTCAGGCGGTGTGGCAAATGCCCGTTGTTAATGGCAACGAGCACGAGTTAGAGATGTTGCAAATGCAGCACAACAACGCCATGGCTAATGGCAAGAGCAGTAGCGTGGGCCATACGGGGGAGAGCTGGCCCGAGTCCGAATTTGAGGGCAGGGACACGCACCCTGGTGAGAGGAAGGGGGTGGGTGAGGATTGGGCTGAGGGGGTGGTTAGGGGTATTACTCCGGCGGAGGTGCAGTTGAAGGTGGACGAGCCGGCGAAGGGAGGGATCGAGAATGCAAGCAGCGACACCGATGGTATGTGGTGGGTAGACAAGGGTTGGGATCTTGTGGTTGCGATATCTGTGTATTGTGGATATGCCTCCTTATGCATACATGTGATATAATTGTATACATCGTGTATGATATATGTATACAATTGTAACTGGAATCTGAACGATCTGATTGGAAGACGAAAATAGTATTCTGAGAGCAAGCGAAAGTATATATATATGTTTGTATATATATAT